CTCACAGAACACCAAAGTAAAAAAAAAAGTGCAGACTAAGTGTTCAAGTTTATATACTCTTGTTTTGTCACTCAAGGCACAGTTCTGACAGCATTCTAAAGAGTGCCGAAAACCTGCGTTTTGAAATTAGAAGGAGATGACAGAGATTGACTACTAACATAAACATCTGACTCCTGTTAATAGACACGAGCACTATACTTATTAGGTTTTCGTAACAATCGAAGCACACTTTATTTCTCAAGCTAGGGAAAACTTTAAAATAATTCTAAAAGTAAGAGTCAGTTTGTGCAAATCCCTTCATTTCCTCCTGTGATTTGTTTGCCTCATGAAGAGCTAAACAAAAGAACGATATTGTTTATAAATTACTTGATACTGACCCTTTTTACTCTTTTGCGACTTTGGCTGAACAAGGATTTGAACGTTGTTAGTCACGGGGGCTGTAGCATGGTGAATGTCTGACTAAGACCAAGCCACGCTTAGACTTGGAAATATCCTACTTAACTACATAATTATTTATAGACCAAGTTGGGCAGAAAATAATCGTAAGACTAAAACTTGACGCCTAGGACTGTCCTGAGCCGTACACGACCTCATGTAGAAAAAAATCATAGTCTTAACAGAAAGCTAAGTGTAGAGAGAGCGAAGTACCAAAGAAAAAAAGATTATTATTTAACATTCTGGTCTTATGAAAACAAAAACACATTCAACACCAGATGGGGCTGTGCAGCGTCTTTATTAGTTTCATATTTCTTTTCAACAAGGCATTTCACAAAGCATAACAAAATAACACGTAACTGAAGCTGGCACATCCAATCCAGCTGCTATATGATATGATATTATGCCAAAAGTAAAAAAGCAGAGTACCTGCAGGACGTAGAAAAGGAGACAAGTTCTACATCTTTGTTGGAGTTCGTGACGATTGCTATCCACCCCCACCTCAAATCTGAAATATTTCTTGGAACAATATTTTTATGAGCGATGCGTTTGGGAGAGGACTAAGGGACACGATCAATACAGGAAGGATAAAATGCAGAAAGCTCAGATTTGTGGAGCACATTGGCGGCGTACAAGAACTTGCAAACTTGCTCAACAGTCCAGACTTTTAGTAAAAAGAGTCAAATAGACAAGATATTACGGTCGTTTAGTGATGAAGTAGAGCAAACCAGACAGACAGAAAGAAAAGAAACAACGTGAAGAAGTACGACCTACGAGTGACGCACATCAACAACCACCCACCGTCTACACAACATGTTGACGAAGTTTGGAATCTAAATAAACTAAGTACAAAACAAAATAATTCCTGCAAAAAAAGTTTTGGAGAAATGAAAAAAGGAACCCGTTACAAACAGCATCAGACGGACAGAAACTCGGCACAGCACATGATTTAAAGAATCCTATAGCAGTCACCTCTAACGACGTGTTGAAACCTTTTTAAAAACAGATTAGACAAGGATAGCACTGCCTGATTTGCAGTGTTGAGGGATGACAACATCGAAACCGCTAGTAAGAACAAAATTCGACTACGGCATAGAAAGGAATACAGACAAACGATATCATGAAGTGCAACCAAAGAGTCTACATAACATGTCAAGAGGGGCCACTCCTCTCTTTGAGCCAATTAAAAAAGTGTCCTCAAAATTCGGTGGCGCCCTCTTCGCAAATGCGCACCCTTTGTGAACAGAGTTACCCTACTTGTATTTTAAAAAATCAAAGTGAAACTAGCAAGTTTTTTAATAAATTTCGGAAGAACGCTTTTTTTTAAAGATGGTTACGCTGACAAAAAAAACCTTTTCCGGATGAAGGGGTGATCGTTTTCTTCGTAAAAGTTGCCTTTAGAATGAAAAACGAGAGGTCATTAAAAAAAACAACAACTAAAACTCCGCACTGAACGAACCCGAACTGCTGATGAACAGCAGTCGATCTCTGCACGCAAGGAGGTGCTATTCATATTCTTCTTCTTGAAAAACGAAAGAGAGTTTCAAAACAGACTGCAGCGCCATCTGAAGAAAAGAGCGAACTTCCGGCGGACACTTTTCTGGCTGAGTGGCCCATCTTGTTATGTACTATCTTTGGTGCAACGCCGCTCTGACAACTTTGGCATTTCCTACTTTGACATCATAAATAAATCGAACGTGTTATCCCCTTACAGTTTTTTCTATTTTTTATTATTCAGATAATTCAATAAAAATTTCAACGGCTTTAGGAGGAATTAAATCTTATATTTTTTCAATCAAATTTACCAAAATTGGTACTTCAACTTAGAAGTGTAGACTTGATTTTGGTGAATTAACCCCCCCCCCCCCCCCCCAACAAAAACAACAACAACAACAACAGAAAACAAGATTTTTCTCTTATTCTAATGGGAGTTGCATTTTGCTTAAATCATTCCCATCTGCCCGCCATTTTGAAATCTTTTCTTTTAAAAAAATAACAACCCAAAAACTACGAATTCACTTTTACAAGCTATCACAGGACTGATATGCCCCTGCGTTTCGAATAGCAATGTCTGGGAGCCAATTGGAGGATCCTCCGTTTGAGTAAGAGTTTTACGGCATTTGCAACACAATAAGGTCATATAAGTGCAGAAGATTAGAGGTGTTACTAGGGAGTAACAAACACGAAAAGGACGGGAGACACGGACAATGGATGTTTGATAGGAAAGAAGGAGCAAATCACACCAGATCACCCTCCAACCACCCACTGGATGATCCTTAAGCAATAGGCATATATCAGAGAAATGTTCTATGCTTCTATTCATAGAAATATCAAACGTATGTTAAACATGCACGTGAGATGGGTAAAATCTGCTATTTGCGTTAAAAAAACAAAAACTGTTCAGTACCCATTATTTCAAAGTAAGATATTGCAATCACAAGAGCCTTAACAAATTCATAATGTTATTGTTAGGTAACGTGACCTCTTGTTTGCATTTCAAATTTGAACTGGTAGGTCATGCCACTAATGTATTTATCATCCCTGCTAATTGGTCTAAAATCACACAAACGTCATGTAAACTTTATAGAATTGAATGTTCCTCGACATGAATTAAAATACAATCAATTTCGTTGTAAACAATAATAATTTTGTTCCATATTTGCATATATTTCATGAATGTAACGATGAGAAAAGAAATAAGTAGGCCAAGAGGCCAGATATGCAAATGAGGCATCATACACATATATAACATAATTTTTGTCTCAAACCAAAGTACACTTAATTTACTTTTTATTTGTTTGTAACACGTACTGGGTTGACTTTCACAGTAATTTGTACAATAGGAATTTTCTTTCTACTACCTCCCTCTTCACCTTACAAAAGAAACTGTCCAAAACCCGTAAACTGTTAGGAGTAATAACCTCAAGCCCTCTGATCAGTGATGATTTTTCATATCAGCGAATGAAAGGAAACTGAGACATCAAGGGCCTATTGCAAGTGACATTCGGAGACTGTTCCATAATGGACAGTAGAGAGGAGACGAAAGAGAGGAAGACAAAAAAAAAAACGATGGAAAAATAACACAATTGAGTGGATAGGAAAGACTTTAGTAGAGACCCGGGCTCTTGTTAAAGGTTGAAAAAAAATGTATCGTGAGAAAGTTTGGGTTCTGCAACAGGGAAAATCACTATAGAATAAATCTTTTGAACTACAATTCACACAAAAATAGTCCACCTCTTCTTGGCTGCAGTAAAATCTCCCCCGTTCCCCCTTTCCCCTAAAACAAGGAGAACAAATGTATATAAGGACAAATAAATTAGACGCCCCCTTTTCCTCCTACGCAAAACACAAAAAAATAGTTTGAATAAAATAAGCAGACCAGGTAGCAGGATGTCACGACTGTTACGTGGTATTCTGTTAGACTCTTGTCCTGTATCATGACTTAATGTTATTGATATTGGTGCTTATCGTGTAAAGCCGTTGCACATAAAAATGAAAGATGGGAGTTTTTAAAAATAGTTTTAGTAAGAGTTTTACGGCACTTGCAACACAATAAGGTCATATAATATAAGTGCCGAAGATTAGAGGTGTTACAAGAGAGTAACAAACACACAAAACCAAGAAGGGGAAATAAAGACGATAGATTTTTTATAGGAAAGAAGAAGCAAACCACACCAGAGCAGCCGCCAACGACTCACAGATGCGAGTTCGATTCTCGAGTCAAGGAAATGTTTTAAGCGAGTACATTATATTTTGTAGGCTAAATATATTTAGGTCTGTCTAAAGGGATGCTATATCATACTCATCTTGGTTGGATCATCTAAATTTTGTCTCACAATTACGTTTTCATGTTATTACCATCCCCTCACACACACACACAGACACACACCCACACACACACACACGCACACACACACACACACACACACACACACACACACACACACACACACACACACACACACGCACACGTAAATACACACACACACATTTATCCTCCTCCAGTCCCCACCCCATCCTCACACACTCACACACTCACAAACTCACAAACACAAAGACATGGAAATACACTTCTGAACTAGCTCGCTTAAAATTAAATGCGATGGAGGGGGTGGTTTAGAAGGTGGCTATGTTGTGTGTTGCTTGTCAGAGAGCTGTTTTGCAAGGTGGTTGAGCCTCAACGTTATCCAATGCTAATGCTATAGGTACTTGTTGCACCAGAGAGTGCCAGCACAGGTGTACTTTGCCGTCTTCTTCAACCTGCCACGAGTAAGGGTCCAGTGCTATACGTTCTTATACTAACCGTTCTCTGACAGTCTAGGTCCAGTGCAATCAGGGGATCAAGGTTGCCCTTTTTAACCTCTGAAATTAAGGCATTATTAATGGTTGTTCTTGGCGAGTTTTGTTTGTTTTGTTTGTTTGTTGTTGTTGCTGTTTTGTTTGTTTGTTTGTTTTATTGTTTTGTTTGTTTGTTTGTTTTATTTTTTGGGTTTTTCTTCTTTTTTTTTGGGGGGGGGGGGGGTTCAATTTGCTTTAAATATATTTTTAAAAAACAGTTTCGACTACTAACACTTGTCTTTCTTGTTCTGTATAACCCACCAGTCTCCAAACATGTCCACAAAAGTGCTTCGGAAGTTTGAACTCATGGTCACAAAAATGAAGAGATTAGTGGACGCGTTGACAAAGTCAAAAATGAATACAACATTTATGACCACAATGAATAGGTTATGATATCTCATTCCGAGGTAAAACTCGGGCTCAACGAACCTGGCAAAATACTGGACAATTCGAGGAAACAGATTCACGATATAAACTACAATGATGACGATGAGCATTTTGATGACCTGCAAATCCCTCGCCGACATTTGACTTTCTTGGGAGTTGACATTCTTCCCTCTAAACTCTGAAGATTTCTGTAAGTGATGTGTGATAATAACTGCACTGACAACAATAACGACAAAGCTTAATAGCGGCCAAAAGATACTAACAATGTTGTAGTACAGCAATACAGACACGCCATGTTGTCGGCGGAAATCGCTGAAGACTAAGGTGGTCGTGCTTGTATTACGGACGGGGTCAAAGTTCACCCTGACTTCCCAAAGAGCAAATACAACCATAAAAGAACCAAGGACAATTGTTGAGATGACGACCATCATAATAATGGTCAACTTTCTAGTGAATATGTCCTTGACCTTAAAGGGCATGCTTACACACAAGCATCGCTCTGTGGACACGTAGGCTGCCAGAGCGCAAGAGACGAACCCCATAAAACTGTGTAAGTAGGTCAATAAGATCGCCGTCACGTCGGCCCACATCTGCCCTAAGGGAGGATCCGTTAACCCCATGACCCAGTACAACCGTCCTATCAGACAACAGACACACTTTAGAAAGTCCCAAACAGCTATGGCGGTCATGGAGATTGCCATACTGTCTTTGAAACCTTGTTTGGCAAAGACAGCGATGACTAGAGCATTGGTGGTGATACCTAGTGCTGAGAGGAGGGAGCACAACCAAACACCTACAACGGTCCTGATCCAATCTGAGACATCTTGGCTGACCATGCCGGACATCTCCCTGTCTGGGGATGACGTCATGCTGGTCAGCTGAGGAAACGAGGCTGTGGTTGTTGACATCGTCATGGCGCTGTGGAGGACGAACATAGATAGGTCAAAGTATTTACTTTCAATTCTGAAGCCCCACTTCTGACATTAACTACAAAAAATGTCATGAAATCCTCTTTAGAAATACATTAAAATCACTTTCCAAAAACATCTACAGCACTCCAGAAGAACAAAGTCTAGTTCCCTGGATCCACCCAAAAAGGGGCTCGAACTGAGAGAAAAAATATGTTAGAAAATAATTAATATAAAAAATAAACAACCAAATCTCAATCAACATAGTCTTTAAATTGTCAGAAAACTAAAAGAAAAAAAAAACCCACATGTACCATCCATTGTGTCCAAAAGCCGAAGGGCAAAACAGAAGAAACACCAAAAAAAGAATAAATCCAAACGCTACAGCATTACCTCTTTCACAAAATTGTGTCTCCAAAACCAACTACAACAACTCCTTTCATAACCTCAAAACCAACAGCGAGCAATAACACTTACATTTAGCTTTAACAAAACCCAACCTTACAACTCCGACTTCACATTAGAAGAACTCAAATCCTGCATCTCAGGCCTGAGCAATGCAGCCTGGTTTCCAGATTAAACACACAATCAAGTAATTATCAGACGTATTTCCACACTTTTTAAGAATAATACTTAAAATGGAATGTGGTAGTCGCAAAATTTCCCCGACTCCTGGCGTCTTGTCACTTCTATTCCTATCCCTAAACCAGTCAAAGAGCACACAAATCCTTCCAATTACAAAGCAAAAAGAGTTGTCTATGTAAATTTATAGGAAAAAATGGCCATCAAACGTCTTATGTAGCTTCTTGAAACCACAAAACCACAAACTCACAAAGTAATCAACAGTGAGCGTTCTGAAAATCTCGAGCCACCCTAGATTATCTTAATCTCCTGAATACTTTTATGCATGGGACTTTTATTGAAGGAAGCCACATGAGCGTCATATTTTTAAAACCAGAAAAAGTTTCCGTCCCAGCCTGAAAGTACGGCATTCTCAGAAATACGCGTCCATCTCCCAGACTTCGATGGAACATTTTTACACAACCGGTTTTTTTTCAGGTTCGTGTCGGATCTTCCTTTTCCGATCCACATCTGCGCACCCATTTTCCTCTTGTCTTTGAAATTGAAATGAACTCATCCAGGCCCTCTAAAAACAATACAGACAGCTCTTTACATATCAGACTTTCTTTGCTGCCGATCAAGAAATCCTCAGATATGTCCTTTGAAAACACAGCTGCAGACGCAGCTGTTCAAACTTGATAATTGGCAAATGATAATGGTTTCAAGTTTCAAGTTTTCTCCGTCAAAGACGTTGTAGTGCACGTCTGTAGGACCAGTAAACGTGAACTACTACCAGATTTGACATAATTATATGGGGAAAGGATTCCCGTACAGCACCAGGCACGTGTTCTTGTACTAATTTTCGACAGAACATAAACTTTCATCCCTCAAATCAAAGACCTCCTCGTGGGGTGCCAGACAGCCTTGGATCTTCTAAAAATGTTGTCCTATCTGGAGAGGGTCAGAGACTCTAACCCTCTAACCACCTCTTCCGTTCTCTCGTGAGATCCGAGCTTGACAACGGACGTCAAGATGATGGATCTGCAAGACCACATCTTTTAAAGATGCTAGACCTCGAGCAGAACCAGGGCCTCCGCTTGTCCTTGGGATCTTTCCTCACATCTCCTATGGAGAGCCTCCATAGCATATCATTCCCAGGGCGTTAAAAGATGCTTTCACCGCACAACGTTGGAAAGCAAATTTCAACCCCTGAGAACCCAGCTCACGACTGTGTATTTCAAACTCGTCTGAGATTAAAGGATAGATATAAGAAAAACGACAATTTTGTCAAGCCTTTCGGACTCAGAGAGAGAGTCCTTGAGGACTTTGACAACCTACAATTCGTAGAAAAAGATAACAGAGAAATTTCTTTTTCAGGAACTCCTAACATGGCACCTCACCAAGACAAATGACCTGACAGCACACAACAAACCGTGCACTGACAGGAAACCTTTCAAACCGCCAACAACAAAAAAAGAACCCTCATCCGACAATACCCGAATGCAGAGAGAACCGAACCGATGACTCTAAATCGGACCCGGCTGTAGGCGCCGCTGCTCTATCCACAAACAGCACTCAACAGAAGAGGCTTCATCCGTAGGCTTTCGTTTTTTTCTGGTTACGAGAGATGGTTTAGGTTTAACGCCCCTATCAACACTTTTAGATTATTAAAGAGGCGGGACTTCCGAGTTTAACGTCCATCTCCGGAAGGACCGAGCCAAGTGGGAAATTCGTGTAAAGTGCATTTCCCAAGGACACAACGTCGGACCGAGCTGAGGTTCAAACCCCCCCCCCCCCCCCCGAACCTGCAATCTCTCGATTACGAGTCCGGGAGCCATTTTTTCTCTGCAGAGGTCGCTATTGTATTGGCCTGTCGTTGGACTCTGTAGAAAACTTCCAAAATCGTTATTTCTAATTCTGTCAAACTCATTGTCTTGCCTCGCATCTCTTACCAATTTTTAACTATCAAATCTTGAACATTAATCTTTGAACTTCAGTTACGGAGTCGCTTCTTGACCGAGCAAGGAAAGCAGATTATATTTACATGACTACCTAGCCATGCAGGCATCTGACGAAACGAACAGGTCTACCTTTTCCCTAAAGATTCCGTGTGCCCAGGTTGGGGTCAACGAATAACACCTTCTCATAGACAGACCTTAGAAAATGTCAAACGCTACATCTCCAGTCTGTGGGAGGAACACCGGAGCAAACAAACGAATAAAAAACTCCAATATATATTGTTTTAGTTGGGACGCGAAAACTTTCAGGTCTCTACAAAATACATGAATTTACCCTCACTAGACTACGAGTATGTATCATACACACCTCTCTGACACATAAATACGTTCTGGGAGAGAGGTGGAAAAACGTGGGGCTGGGGCTGGTAATTTTATTTATTTATTTTGTTGTTGTTGTTGTTTTATTTTTTATTTGTCTATTTTTTATTTATATATTTTTCTTACTTTTTCTAGGGGGGTGGGGGCGTCGGTCAATCAGGCTCATTATCCTAATTAAACGTTCAAACTTTGGAGAAATCTGATAGAAATATTTTAGAAGCACTAATTTAAAGAATTTGTTCTCCACAATTAGTCCTAACAGAATACTCAATTTTATAAAGACCGTTGGTCTGTCCTTTAAAAAAATTGTAGGTGCTATTTTAAACTTGCGAATAACTGATCCAAAAATCAGCACACCGACAATTGCAGCAGTCTCCCCTCGACACCTCGTTGTATAAGATAGAAGAAAGAAAAAGTAAAGTATTTACGACTATCATCAGAAACTGCGCCCGTTATTCTTTACATGTGTTGAGAAACCCTTTCAGAAATTAGTAAATTCAAGTACCTTAACAGTATTATACCCAAAACTGCAGACTGCCTTGACGACGTCCACCAAAGACTTAAACATGCTTTTGCCAAGTTAAAAAATACAATATGGAAGTCAAAGATCATTTCATTGAAGCCGAAATTTAAAAAAATAAATAATAGCAATATTTTGGCTATATTGAAGTATGGTTCAGAGATATGGAAAACAAGCAAAACATTTCGACGAAAATAAAAAAAAGCTTCCAAACATAATGTTTACGAAGAATATCACTAATAAAATGAAATGAATTTATAACAAATAATAAAGTGTTGGAAAGAGCTGGAATTGAAGATATCAACACAACCATAAAAAGGAGTAAATAGACATATCTAGGACATGTTCTAAGAATGCCGAAGACAAGATTGCACTATCAGACATTGTATTGGAAATCAACTGGAAAAAGAAAATTGATTGGCCGAAATTGGAGGACGCGGCCAGGGACAGACAAGCGTGGCGTCGACTGCTCTCCACTTTATGTACCCAGGGGCGGACTGGCCTATGGGCATTTGGGCAATGCCCCCTGGGCCGGGCCGAAGGGACAAAGTGGGCCGGTGTTGAAAGGACAAAGTGGGCCGCTTGATTTTGAAAATTGTCTTCAGATTACTGCAAAGGTAGGTCTGAATGGATAAGTGGTAATGGATAAGTCAAACCACAAAAGAAGAAAAGGAGATCAGGAGAAAGAACGCGAACGAAAGAAAAAGAAACTGTCTGAAAGTTCATCAAAATGCCGAAATATGTTGCCACTGTTTAAAAGCGCTGATGCAAAGGGACCTGTAATCGGTGAAAATGTGGCAAAAGGCACATGCAGCTGGACCTTCAGCAGATGAAACAACTGATTTTTACCAAGTTGACGAAAGTAGTGGATTGGCAGCTGCTGCTGATCTATCAGCAGGTGAAGCTGGACCATCATCAGATGAAATGAGAACTATTAAACCAACAAGTGAAATGGAAGCTTTGCCCGTGGCTAGCACAGAACAGACTGCACATACTGAACTTGAATCAACAGGAAGTAAAGATTTGGGGATTGACTACTTTAAGAAACCATGCACAGAAGAAGAAAAGTTGTTTTGGAATCATCATTCATGTCAGAAGAAAGACAATCGAGTGGTGCAAAGATGTTTCATTCATGAAGACAGATGGTGGCAGTCTTACAACAAAGACTCCCATGCACTTCACTGTTCTGTCTGCTTGGTGTTTTCTGCCACTTCAGACACATCTGCGTTTCTTAAGGGAAATAAAGACTGGCGGCATGTACATTCTCGTATGGAACAGCATTAACGTTCGTCTTTGCATCTGCAATGCTCAACAGCATACCTGGTTGATAAAAACAATCAAGCATGTCTCACATGTTGGCGAAGGACTACTGTGATGAAGTCAGAAAGAAACGGCAAGTGATGAATCGAGTTGTGGATGTTGTTAAACTCATAAGCAAGAAGGGGCTAAGCTACAGAGGAAGTACGGATGAGGCAGCCTACACTTTGGACAATCCAGAAATTGACCATGGTACTGTCCAGGAAATCGTTACGTTGCTACGCAAATACGATTCATGCACAGCTGATCACCTCTCTCGCGTAGTCCATAAC